TTCAATATTTTCAATCATTGGTAATGATCGTTTTCTATCGTTTGGTTCTTAATAATACATTGTCAGAGATACTAATTCGTTGCATTAAATGCTAACACTACACACACCCACACAAAAGTAGATTTATAATTAAAATAATCTCACGCAGAACATTATAAACCTACATTTCAACTCAGTTAAAACTTCATTTAAGTTTTCTTTAAATACGAAGCGATAGCATACTTATAACTTGTTTTAAGGAGAGGCGAACCAATATTACGTCATAAAAAGGCGTGTCCAAGCATAAGAAGTAAACACAGCATCGACTGATGCAGCCTATTCTGCGATTTAGCCAAGGCATTTTACAATAAACATTTTTATACTACAAACTGTATGTGAATGTTTTGCAAATTAACTTGATAGTTCAAATAATTTACCATATTCGTATAATTACAAATAATAATAAAATTTAATTAATGAAATATATGCTCACTTTCTTAAGATATTCATAACCTCAAATGCTTTTTGTGTATGTTGAGAGTTTTTATATGGCGGTTTGTCTGCACAACAAGTTTCAGTGGATGCCATGGCAGAAGTTCCTCGGGAACGAGACAATTCCATTTTCCGTGGTTTTGCATCTTCTAGCTCGCCAATGCTGAATAAAAAGAGAAATAAAATTTTAAATATATAATAGTTATTTATTTTATGAATTACAGTGAAACAGCACAGATACACTAACAGAGAAAGACAAATGCTAAGGAGAAGACAGTGTTAAAAGGTTTTAAATGAGTTTTTTTGTTAATTATCCTCGATTAAATTACTGAATGAATAGTCAGTTGCCTTCAGTTATAAATAATTTATTAAATTCATAATATAAATTTTTATATAAGAATAATTAATTTTACAGTTAATAATTTAACATACATTTTTTAGCATCAGAGTAGATAAAATTTTCAGAATTTAGATATTGTATGGCTTGCACATGCAGCAAAAATCCTAGTATGGGCTTAAGTCAGCATGCATACCATTTAGCGAATTTTATGGATATTAAGTACAATATCTGAAATTTCTGGTGTCATACATATATAAAAATAACACAGGTAGATACCTTATCTATATCTTGTAAATTATATATCACAATCACAACACAAACCTTTTTGAATAGGCAATGGTTGCGCGGTAAGAGCACTAAGCATTGGTAGATTGACCTGGGTTCAAATCCTGGCAAATGAGCTAACTGCATGAGACTTTTCGGTACTTTTCCGTTTTGCCGGCGCAGGCGTAAAGTTTCCAATAATGGTACAACTGGTTCTAAACGGAATATCCTCATTGGTAACCTTTTACGCCTCATTTTCAAAACAAGTCACTGTCATTTCTTATCAGATTGATTGTCTCTCTTTCAATACTGGCATACAACTACATAGAATTTTTACCAGATAGTTCAATTTTATGCCCTAAGGCCATTCGCTATAAAAAAGCTATAAAAATGATAAACATGATCAGCCAAATATATCCACTTGCACAGTAGGACAATGATCAGGAATTTAGGGTTTGCATATAAAAAACAAAAATGCCACTCAGTTTTGATTGAACATGACGACACTTAATATTAGAAGCAGATATATCTATGAGCTATAAAAAAATGTTGTGCACAGAAAATGAAAATTTACTATACAGTGAAGCCTGGGTAATTTCTGAGCATTCTAAATCAAAAATTTGGCAGGATACAACAATACAAAGTGCTAAGAGAGCCTTTTTTAATGACCTTTCAACATGTTTGGTTGCTCTCTCAGGAAAAAGATGACAATGCATAGTTTATCATGCTGGTAACAAGACAGATTTACGCCTGAAACATGGAATATATTCAAAGAGTAAAAAATAAATAAATAAATAAGTAAAATAAAAAGAAAGGAGATTATCATGGGAAAATGAACACAGAATAATATGAAAACTGGTTTCAAAAAACAACTTTGCAACATAATAGTAGTACAATTGTGCTAGATAATGCATCAGCACTTCATATGAAAACTTTTGTCTTTAAGTATAACAGAAGCAGACATTTATCTTCAGCTGGCACAGAAAAAATATTCTTTGGGAAGCTGATATGTTGAATGTAGAACTTTCAGTCATTGTTTCTAAGAAGTGTATCATACTGATGCTGCAGCTGCTGAAGGCACATATACTTTGCTCTATTTACCACCATATTACTGTGAACTGAATCCATACAGAATAATCTGAGAAAGGTATGTAGCATTTAAAAACAAAAATTTTCAAAAAGTCTATAAATTGATTGAAAAAAGGATCAATATCATAACTCCTACAGAACGGACTCTAAAAGTGCAAGGGACGTAACAGACAATGCAGAAACCGTCTGTTAGAGAACACCCTTTGAGTGCATAAAATTTTAACAGTACGTCAGATAGTTCAGATGATAATCTTAGCAAGATTGAATGTCTGAATTAAAAGAAAAGGACATTCCTCAAGGCCACACTGTAAGAATAAAGCAGAACTATAAACATTTATAAATAAAGCTAGCATAATAAACATACAAGCTAGCATAATAAATACACACCATCCCTTAGAAAATCCACCAGGGAAGTGTCCTATCACAGGCTGAGTGGTTAATACTGCTGACTATAGGGAGTTTGACCTGATTTTGAATCCAAGCAAACAGGCTGGCTTCATGGTTGGTTTTTCTCATGTGCAACATATATATAAGAGTTTTCTTTAGAGAGTCCTCGACAAATGCATCTTGTGCTTTGCCACATTCAAATCTTTAAATACGTTCATACATTTCTGAATATCCCAATTACAGTACCATTCTTTTTTACATACACAAAATAATTTCCTATTTGCGCATGCATTTTGCATCAACATAAATTAAAAGTTTCTAAATCATATGCTGAAAAATGCAAGTAAATATAAATGAATAAATGCAATATAAAATTAATATATGCAAGTAAATATGATATACAATACAAAGTCCGAAATCCGGACGTCCATTATCTAGTATGATCTAATATCCGGACCTCAAAACCACCAACAAAGTTTTCCTCGTATGCTACGCATGTGCATTCGATTCACACCTCCATGTATAATTAAACATCTGGAGAGTCTTGACTGTTAATTTCACTTCAACACTAAATAAAATGCCTTGTTATTGAAGAAACAATCATTTTAGCATAATTTAGCCATCAGTAATTTGGCTCTGTTGCTGCATATGTGCTTTGGCACACATCTCAAACTGAAACATTCCACATAGAAACAGCATTGATCTGATGCCAACCTGGCAAATCATTATTTATTATACTTCAATTTCATCACTGCATGTTTATTAAAAAAAATGACAACTTGAGTAATAACTCATGTAGCAATGCCTAAACAATTTTTTTCTGTTAGTAATTGAATAATAAAGGAGTATGGTAACCTTTTGTGTTGATGATGAGAGTTTTTAATCGCTTGGCGATGATTACAGATTTAAATGTGCTAAAAAATGTTGTTACCAAAAATTTCTTTCCATATGCTAAAAATAGATTTTATTGATGATACTCATAGACCCAAAGATTAGCGTCAGGCGGTAAGATATGTAGCGCCAGCCCTCAATAAGGCTTAAGTATATGTGAGAATCTATTTATTCAGAAGTCTGATAAGCCTTAAGCATGTGCAAGAAACAGATGTAAGTACAATAAATAACTAATACAATTCAGGCTTAATTGTCTAAATGTGTGATAGAAGCAAGATAAAATTTAATGGAACAACTTGTCGCCAGTTGCCATGATCATGATGCATAGCCAAATATGTATAGTGAAGGATAGCTAAATTTGATGATGATAGTCACTAATTTTAAAGGTTTTCGGATATCGCAAAACAAAAGTGAAATTTTCCAATTAACGGATTTTGTGAAAGAAAATAAAAGAAGCGGTAGCGGTAATAAATGAAGATGATATAAAAGAAGTTTTTCATTGTGATGACAGTCTTCTGAATCCACTGTAATGAAGAAATTGAATCCGTAGTGCTTTCGATAAAAAAGAAAGTGACAGAGAAGTTACTGAAAACGAGAAAATTTCGATTGACAAATTAGTCGGAATTCCAACAGCAGTTACAGGGACTTCAACATGTAACTAAACAAGAGATTATGTCTGTCTACAGAATTAAAGAGAAAGTATTAGCGTAAAAAAAACGAAGCAATTTAAACAACTTACATTGAAAAAAATGTTTAATAAGGTAAATAAATAAATATTGAGCTTTTTTTTTTTTTTCTGTAAATTTTGATACCCTTTAGATCATAAATACTTTTATTTCATATTTTTAATTTTATAATTTCGACATGCTATCTTACTAGATTTAAACTGATGATCTAATATCTGGAAAAATCCCAAATCCGGAATTGTCGAAGTCCTGACAAGTACGGATTTTGGACTTTGTACTGTATCAGGTTTCAAACAGAATGCATTTAGAATTTTTTTTTTTTTTTCTCAAAATTCATTCGAGATACATGTTTTAACATTTGATTTGTCATGGATTCATTATAAATAAAATTACATAACTCCACTGTAAAATGTAAAAAGGGGGATCACTTTTATCTTACTTATGCCAGGTATTGACCAAGTTTCTTGTTCCAAATTAAGATATTCTTTTGTTATTGGGATGGAATTTAGGACTGTATGTACGTATGCACTCACATATGCATGTATACATGCTCATTATACACCAGTGTTTCTTAACCTTCCTAGCGAGTCGCACCCCATTGAATCTGAAAATATATCTCCGCACCCCATTGAAAAATGTGTTTTGTGAAACTTATTGTTTATTGAAAAACATTGTACATTTTATATAAATACGAAACAATATAATTTTTATTAATGACTTGTCTGTTGTTGTTTGTTCATTATTATACTGGAGAAGCGAGGTTCCTTTTTTGAAAGACATACGCGTAAGTCAACACTTGCATTTAAGCAATTTCTCGCTTTAGTTTTTATATGCAAAAGTGATGAAAATCCCATTTCGCACAAGTAGGTGGTAGCAAAGGGTAAGAGTAACTGCAGTGCTCTGTTCGCCAACTCTGGATAATGTTGTAGCTGTGAACACCAGAATTGTTGCAATTCTAATTCTTCGAATTCCATTTGAACATGTCCACTTGCTCGCATTTCAATAAATTGATCTTTTTCATATCACTATCATCCATCAAATTTAAATCAAACAGAAATGGATCCAGTATCCATCTCTGAGTTTTGGTAATATTTCCGGTAGAAAAATATCCATTGAATGATTCACTCAATCATCTCAAATGTATTACAATGTCGGGTATAATTGTATTCTTTTCATTTTTCACAATAACAGAATCAAGCAAGGGAAAATTTGCAAAATTCCTCTTTTCTACTCGACATATCCAAATTTCTAATTTTGCAATAAATGAAGATAATTTTTTCACTAGATATTATTATATTTATACCAAATCCTTGCATTGACAGATTCAATTCATTTAAATGGCTAAATATGTCTGCTAAGTAGGCCAGCCTCAGCACTGCATCATTACTCTCAAAATCTTTTACTAAATAACATTTTTGACTAGTCAGTAATTGAATAATTTCCTCATGCAATTCAAAAACTCTGTTAAGCATGCGAACCTTGGATAACCATCATATTTTGGTATGA